GGCAGCGCCTGTACTACTTTAAGCTATTTGTGCGTGACACCAGTGTTGTGACAGTACTTCACTTCGACTTAAAAATGTAATCAATTACTTAACCTTATTTCTGCAACTGCTACATACAGAATCTTCTTATTTATATGTGTCCATATGAATTATAATGTTCTTGCAACAGAGCTTCTAAACTTCTACTTTACTTGGCTTATGATTTTGTCACTGCTCTGAACGTCAGTACTTGACTTGATCGATCTTCTCGGTGGTACATAGAGTTCTCACCATTGCTCCAGTAATGAGATATGAGATGACACGAATTCACGTACTGATGTTTATTTCTTTTCTTAACCTTTCTTCCATAAACACCGTGGAAAGGTAAAAGTATTTTACAAATAAGGTTGTGAAATTACGGAAATACATACATTTCATCCGTTGAAAGTAACAAGACAGAAAGGTATACTGACTTAAGATCGACAAATATCGGTAAACAGGGCACACGCGAAAGCGTCACGTCATGTTATTAAAAGGTTAAGTTTTTTGTGTTTGCGGTTAGTCGACGCAAGTTCTTTGTCATTACATTTACATTTCCTTATTTAAGTAAGCGCTTTGTAATTTTATCCTTTAACCAATTTTATCGTCGATTGCATTGTAAAATCAAGATTTTAGATTTTAGACGAAGTTAAGCTCACACACGAGAACTTGCGTTAGAAAGAACTTTCTAGTTAAATCTAGAAATTGCGTTAGCGAGCGCGTGAAGAAAACAAAAATTTCGGATAAAAAATAAGTGGATTAAACGAGCGACTAATTGCGGTAGCTACACTTGCAATCCAGTACAGACACAAGAAACGGTGTACGAACTGTAAAGATCACAAAGAGATGAATCGTCTTTTGAAACAAAATCTAAAATAACAACTACAAAGAACAACCCAAACCGCTAGAAACAGTGGAAGTGGAGCTGTTAGTTTAGTTTATAGGGATCCCTATAGGGAAATTGTGTAAACAAGGAAGTATTATTTATTGAGAACACGTTTAACGCACGAGAAAGCGAATAAGTCAGATGCTCACCAAACGCTGGGACTAGAGAGAACGGTTTTGTTAATGGCCAATCAAGATTGAAATAAAGAGTTTAAGCTCCATTTTGTGTCTGAGTCACTTTTTTTTAGATTATGATCTCCACATTATTTTGATGACGTCCCTGGGTATTGTGACGTCACTTGCTCCTTGCCTACTCAAAATAAACTATGACATCATCCTATTTTAATGAGATGCTACCGTCATCGGCGTTAATTTATGCCACTCAAAAAGTTAATTAAATCCACAAAAGAGGACTAAATAATCCCTAAACAACTATTGGCTTGCGCATAGAAGTCTCACCTATAAGCTTTCATGGTTTCCTGAGACTTCACCGCCTTTTGAGATGCTTCTTGTGTATGTTATATGTAATTTAATTATTTTCCTTTATTTATATGTAAAAAAGCAAAAAAAGCAAAAAAACCAATAAACTACTGACACCCAACTGACAGCCCTGCTTGGTGAAAGCGTACTTTTTATGTTGATAACTGAGCGTGACATATTGCATCGGCTTACATATAGGAGGAAAGCGACCAGTCTTTTATCTGAGCCCACGAGAAGGTCATGTGATGTTTTTCAGCGGCTGCCTAATTTTGACAGCTGTCAATTCATCTTCTTACCGATGGCCTAAACAACAGCAGGGTAGTGTAAATATTTGTGCAAGATCTATTGTGACATTTGACGTCGGTTACATGTAATGTGTGTACAGACGGTCTTTCGGGCGTATATTGACGTCATAACTAAGTTTTCTCGGAACCATTGGGCTCCGCACGCGCGCGCGCGGATACATTCACCTTGTCTTTTGGACGCTTTGCATGAGCTGGAAAACATCATTTACTAAAGAAAATTGCAGAATATATGTTTTTAATCAGTATTCGATTCTTAGCGTCGTCTTACCGGCGTCTTAATGACTAACACGTAAGTCTTATTTTACTTTAGTCTTTAATTTCATCTATACATTTAAAGTGAGAGTTATTGGTGTGACATCTCTTTACCTCACTAGATATTTCATTTATCTGCCGTCATGAATTGCGAAGTAAAGAGTTTATTCTGCTTTCATTTAATTTTCCTTTTAGTTTTGATTACAATTTGTCGTTTATGTAAATACAACTTTTCTTCCAGATAAACCAGATAGTGTTGAATTGGTTGTCAACACAACTGAGAACACGAATTGCACTGACTTGTGGGTGCATTTCACTTGTGTGGCTTCTGTAGCCATTCCAGCAGTTTACAACTTTCTTCTTTACGAGAAAGATGGGGACATAAGTCAGAGCAAAAGTGGAATCTGGATTAAAAAAATATCAAAAGGAGGAAAACATATTTATAGCTGCATTGCACTACAAGTCGTAGGGAACGTAACAAGTTCAAACAATGTGACCCTGACTGTAAATGGTGAGTTTTGTCAAAGGAATAATAGCTTGAAACACTGAGTTTCGAGTTTTCATGTGTACATGAACCTGTCAATATGTAAGATTGCAAGTTGTGTGTACGATAATGCCCTCAGCCCCCTTAAGTAACGCGTATTAACATTTTGAACAGCTTATCCACTTACATGAAAAACATTTTCTTTGCCCGAGAATTTTGCAAGTAACAAAAGATTTCACCTTGATTTGTTCAATTTCACAAGAAGCCTAGTGTTTGTGCACGTCGTAGGTGACCCTGGGCAATTTATTGGGGTCGGGAGGAACGCGCGACGAAACCCCCAAGTCTCCGAGAATGGTTTGTTCATTACTAATTGTGCTTCAATTTAAAAAGCTATTAGACAGGTTAAAAACTTCTAAAACATCTTAGAAAACAAAAGTGACTACGATGTTAAAGAGTTTCTTGATTGACTGTTTCATAGTGAGAATAGATACTCATCCACGTTAATACTTTGAATTTCCCGGTAACAAGTGTCTTAATGGAAGTACTAGTCCACTCCTTAACACTCTTAGTCGCTAATTATCTCGTAAAAAAATCATTGTTGTTGTTGGAAACCACGTACGCTAGAGATAAATTTCAGCATTGTAATTAACGTGTCGTGTTGAGATTGTTACATGCCAGCGTTTTTGCTTGCCGTATGTTAGTTGTTTTTTGATAGGAATAGGTCTTCTACAATGTATACGGACTGTAGAAGCAATCATAATGTTATAACATTTGGCTTCTGTATAACAATACGTTTTAGTTATTTATAGTTTAGCCTTTTATGTTTTAATGGCTGTTAAAACAGCTTCTATTTTGGTAATTATTTAGCAATGCAGTGAATATGACGGTTGTGTATTTTTTCTTAAGTACTGTTTTGTTTCTTATTATGTCATGATAATGTTAAGAAATGATGTACATTCTTTTGGTAGTTCTAGCGTCTGTAAATAAACTAGATCACAAGACTGTCAAGGAAGGTGCAAGTGTGTCATTGAACTGCACTGTGATAGGATTTCCTGCTCCATTTGTTGCATGGTCAAAGATTGGCGGTGGAGTGATCAGTCTGGATAGGTGGCTAAACATCACTAATATCACTAAAGCGGATAGGGGACAGTATCAGTGCTTTGCAAACAACACTTGTGGTAGTGATGTCACGTTTACAAGCATTAACGTGCAATGTAAGAGGTTAAAATGGATTACTCTTAGTTAGCTTGAGAGTTCTGACGGCTGTAATGTAAGTGGTTTTGACGCCCGCGAAAGTAGCTGAAATCTCGAAATAATGTTGTTTGTTTGAAATTATTAACATAGAAAACAAAACGAAACGGACATCTTTTAAACGAACGCTCTCTTTAATTACAGTGTCATCCACGTTTTTCGATGACGCTATAAGACTTTTTGGAAAATATCCATGAATACTTATTTTTATGAATGCCGATAATGTAAAGGAACACCATCATATATGAGAAAGTTGGAATGACGCGTAATAAAGACGATGACTGTGTATAAATTTAACGTTTCCTTAATATCTATTCTTTACTGATCTTCCTTTTTTTCTGCAGTTAAACCTGAAAATGTTAATTTTACTGCAAACGTTACAAGCAACGAAACATGTCTGGATTGGGTTGTAAAGTTCACATGTGCAGCTGATGCTAACCCAGCAGTTGACAAATATTCTCTGTATGAAAATGATACCATTGTCGATATGGACGTTTCAGGAGTGTGGGTTAGGCCACTAAACAAATCTGGCCATGTTATTTACAGATGCGAGGCTAACAATTCACTGGGCAATGAAAAAAGCAATAGCATTATTTTTATAGTTGGAGGTAAGGTTCAGTATAGGTTGCTTAATGGAACGTTTACTTATTGACTTGTAGCAAATTTTTAGCAAAGGACATGCAGATATACGGATCAGGAGAGTTTGATTGCGGCGAATTAAAACTCAAATTATTTTGTCGTCACAAGGATATGAGTGAAGTTATCTCTTGTTCATTATGGCCTCGGAGGTTGCATGTTAACGCACTAAAGAATGGCAGTTTCATTATTTTCATGAATAGTTGACTTTTGTTAAGTAAGAAATAGCTATCTTTCTTGGCAAACACCTATTGACAACAGGTCAGTGGAAGAAGATTATAGCGTTTTGATGAAATATTGACACAGAAATGTTTTTGGGAAATCTGAGAAAAAAGTTGAGTTTTGTCTGACCTCCTTGGTCTTGGTTGTATTGTCTTAATTTACATGTTAGACGTTACAACTAAACTGAGATTCAGCATTAAAACAGTCTTTCGTTGCTTGTGCATCTACAAACTCATGAAAGTGAAGAGCAAAGGCTCATGGATTGCATAATTGGGGCAAATAATCTGAGGACTGGATGGCCACTTAACAATCATTTTATTAAATGTACAAAATATCAAAATTCATTTTGTTAAATATATGCGCCTTATTACCCTCCTTTACTCTTCCTTTATTTCCTTTTCCAAAGTAGAAAAAAAAAATAGAAAACAAAAGAAAAGCAGTTATTTCAGTGTTTTTGACGACTTTGTACTTTGCGTTATAACTTTGCAATTGTTCACGCATTTTAAGCTTTTTCTCTTTCTTTTCTTTTCTTTTCTTTTCTCAGTTCCAGCGTCTGTAAATCAATTAGATAACAAGACTGTCGTGGAAGGTGACAGTGTGTTTTTAAACTGCAATGCAATGGGACCTCCTGATCCATTTGTTGCATGGTCAAAGATTGGCGGTGGAGTGATCAGACAGGACGGGAGGCTAAACATCACTAATATCACTAAAGCGGATAGGGGACAGTATCAGTGCTTTGCAAACAACACTTGTGGTAGCGATGTCACGTTTACAAGCATTAACGTGAAATGTAAGATTCTAAAATGGATTACTCTTTAGTAAACTCGATAATTTGAGTTTTTTGAAAACTACAAAGTATTCTTTTGATTGACAATAGCGGAACTTGATTATTGAATAATTAATGCTTATTATTTTATTATTTTTGTATTTTCTTTATTCTAACTTGACTTATTATCGAAGACTTTTGTAAGTACTCTGTTGAAAGGAACGTGCGCGCTGTAAAAGTCTTCTCAGTGTGGTATGGGGTGAATGTCATTGAATTAGGAAGGAGGAATGAGAAAGGGAATCCTGTAAAATTTCTTATGATGCAGCCAGTTCAGTCGCCCATCTTGAAACTAGCTTTTCACAATGTTGTCTAAAACGAGGAGAAGAACTATACTGGAATGTTTTCCAGAACTGATTGTGTCAACTTTAAAAAGCATTCATCGGTTTGTAAAGTTCATAAAAAAGGTCAAGTGCCGCTACTTCTTTATTCCTCACAACGTTGATTTAGGCCCCGTGCTCTATAAATTCTATGATTAGAGGGCGCATACAAGGGAGCCCAACAAGATACACCTTAAACATCCTATACTTTTGAACTGTACATTACAATATAGGAAGTTACAGCTCTTGAATTTTATACCTTTCCATCACCGGCACGATAACCTGACATAATTTTTTCCTATAACCTTGTCAAGAGAGATCGTGCTGTTCTCCCAGATGTTATTTATTCTAAAACAACCTTGATCATCTACAAGCAACGTCGTAAGATCCATACATTTTAAATGCAAGATCAGTTTCACAGTTTTTTTGCCCATTTTTGCGAGAGCCTGCAAAGTATGGAAATTCCTTTCAAATTATCCTATTTTGATACGGGAAATCACAGGGCATTTAAATCATTACAAAGGCAAGACTGTGGCTTTAGTGTAATCGAATTAGAATGCAGACCAATAAGACATCCTAGTTTTATTCGCGAGTGAGTGGTAAATCTTTTAAACCAAAATTTATAAGAAAAATATTAATAGTGAGGTATAAGTGTTACAAGTAACACCGAATGTTACTAATTAAAATATGGTAGATTAACTCACTAAAATGTACAAACATAATACCTGACTTAAAGTGGTCAACTGAAAAAAGTTAATTGTATGATAAATAGTACTGTTTCACCTCAGATGTAATTTATAAGAAGTATAAAAGGTTGGTTTACACACCCCGAGATTTGTTAGCAAGAATTTGTAAAGTAAACATGTAGAACGCAAAAAAATTCAGTCTGATTTGTTTTCCAAGAATTTGTTTTCGAGGCCTAATCTATTGCGATCAAGAGCCATTATGGCTCTTGAACAGACTGGCTCTCGAATGTGATATCGAAGATCATTGCTATTTTTGGGGTGTACATGTAAGGCTATCAACTCGATGTAAGATGTTTCACTCTAAAATAACTTAGCCTTTCCCTCAAAAGTCAGACACTTGAATTGAATGTACCCTTAAGTTAACTGATTTGTGGATTACAAGTTTATTGTTTTTTTTTAATTATAAATTTATTAATTGGAGCTTCGCTTTTAGCCCTGGCTAAATCTGTATATTAGCTCTGTCTCAGCTGCATGCAGGTGTTTCATTGGAATCTTTCAAGCTAGGAACTGCGGCTGGTGACTGATATTGCATGACAAGGAGTAAAATGGTTTTCCCTCTTGAAGATTTTTGTTGGACAGGGTTTTGGAAGAATTGGATTAAAAGGGTCAGCTGGCGGACATGCACCGGTGCCGGATTCAGGAACCTCCAGTGGGGTACAGGGGCATGCTCTCCCTGGAAATGTTTGAAGTTGGACTCTCTGAAACGCAGTACAATTTATTGCATTCTCTGGACCGGAAATGGCTAACCGGGAAGCTTTTTTAAGGCATTATAAAAAAAATAATCAAATATTTTATTTGGCATTTTGGCGTATGCATAACTAATTATTGTCTGATCAATCCTTGATTAATAAATGAAAAAAAAAACCATGTTCAGCCTTAAAAAAGTAATTATTTCGTGTGTAAACTACTGAAAGTATCATATCAAGCAACCGTGCTTTGTGCCCTGCGTCCAGCCTGGAAGTTGGAGCCTTGCCTTCGTTCAGTTTTCAAAGTGCGTTACAGAGGCAAATTAATTTCCTTAGATTTTTGGATAGTCTCCTTGCGACTCTAAGGTGCCTTTGAAATTCTTCCATCTTATTCAACAAATTTTCTTTCGAGGAACATGTTCTGATACTGAAATGTTTCAGTTAGGTTGAACGGTTTTTCCCCTGGGGGGTATTCCTGGAAATTCTTGGAGGGGGTGTGCGGCCCGATTCTCCAAATTCTCATGTCACAGGTTTATTTCTTATTCAGTTGGAACCAATTGACAAATATGTTCATACACCACCGAAGGTCCCTCGGAAACTATACCCGATTCCAGACCAAAGCCTATACCCGTTTTCATTCAGGCCAAAACGACTCAAAATCTATACCCTTTGGGGCGGCACATACCGATATCATAGCTTATATAAAGGGAGTATACAACCGGTTAAAAAAAAAAGGTTTAAAGGCTTGTTTATAGTTGAAAGTGCACTTAGCTTATCCAGCTAGTTTACAGGTACTCCACTCAAATACTTAGAAAGAAATAATTCAAATACGACATAACATGGTTAAAAACCCCAACTGACAGGAGGCAACCATTTGGATATTTACAAGCGTGGCCGAAGATTTGAACTCGGGACGACCGAGAACATATCCAGCAAATGGCCGGAGCAGGACTCGAATCCAGAACCGCCGGATGTCGAGTCCGACGCGCCGACCACTCGGCCACGCTGCCTCGTTAAACGGTCTCGAAGGGGTGTTCCTACCGTCGAGAATTGACGTGCTCTTGAACCTTTCTTATTTGTTAACAATTTTATCTAGAAAAAAAGAGTAGTGTAGTGTTTATTAGTGTCTGTTCAATGAACTGTGCAGCTTCTTTCGATATCCATATTGCTGGTTTTCAGCGTCACGCCTTTCAAAATAGATCAAAATAAAAATCAAAACCGTTCAATAGATAAAGTCCAGAATCTGCGAAATGAAAGGAGGTAAAATGCAAAGACCCTCACCAAGATTCAGGTCAGAGGAATATTTCGCATACGAGATATCGGAAGAAATGTTTTCACAAAATTAATAGAGATTTGTATGGAGACGCCATGCTGGTGCCCATCCAGATGAGCACCAACGTAGCGGACGGAAACCAACAGAAACATGTGTTACCGAGTTTTGCTACAAAAGCGTGAATTCATTCTTCGAGGAACTCATAAATCTTAAAGTAATACTTTTTCTAATACGTGAATTGTTTAGATGGCGAAATTCCCTGAAATAAGTTATTTGTTTAACCTACACGACATCTCTCCTGGCCGTCATGTAAACGCCGCGTCACGCAAAAGCGTAGAAATTCATAGCGTACTCTTTCACAAAACCAAGAACCCTTTTGTATGAAAATTAGTTTTCAGCTGCTCTTATACACCGTGAAAGTAAAATATCGGTTCTATCGATAGTTTTGTAGTTTGAATTTTAGTGACGTCAGGTGAAAACCAACAATTGTACCATGGTGGGTGTATGAGTTGGGTGAACGCCTTTGAGTTTAACAGGTATTGCTTTCTTAGAGCATAGACAAAAGTAGCGAAACATCTCGATTTTTAAACTAATGTCTTCGTTACAAAAGTATAAAAGTAACAATTGTACTTCGACGAAGCGAATTTGAAATCTAAACTATTTCTTTGTAACATGACTCTTTATGTTTTCTTTTTCTGCTTTGCTCTAGATCCACCAAACATCACTTACATATCTGCAAATGTGACAGTGAATCAGAGCGAGCAAGTGAATCTTACTTGTAGAGCTAATGGTAACCCTAAACCAACTATTACCTGGACAAAAGATAGCAATATCATAAATAGCTCGTTCACCGTGCGTGGAAAAAGCGATGAAGGACTGTATGTTTGCACCGCTGATAATGGAATTGGAAATGCACCCAGCAAGTCGATGTTCGTGACTGTTGATTGTAAGTCTACACTAACTATACTGACTATTAATAGAGTCTGAATAGCTGTTACTCATTAAGTCAAACAAATGGAAACTAAGCTACAAATTCCAATTTGCCATTTTTGGAGTTCCAAAAGCTCTCATTTTCAAAGCGAGGCTAAGTGCAAACCTTTCTTTTGAAAATGAGTTTCATTGGAACGAGGAAAAGAAAATAATTTTTATATCTAAGACTTCGACCTTAGTCTAGCTTAAAAACAGAGGCTTGGGGCAACTCGGAAATGGTCCACTAACCAAAAAAGTCAAAAACAGCGGCTGACACTCGATACTTCAAAGAAGACAATAATGACTTGCTCAATTTTGTTATCTCGTGTATGTAAAGGGGGCTCGCACTTTCCTACCGTTTTTACAACTCTTACATATTCGTACATTATATGTACTTAATGACTGCTGAACTGATCAGTAAAATCTCCACAAAAACCTCCGCGTGTTTGAGTGAAACTTCACTATTGTGAAGTATAGATTTGTATGCACGTTACTGTCTTGAAGTAAACATAAAATTGCCTTCATCATTTGCAATATTAGGCTCTCCCGTGCGCGTTGTTTCTCTTCACCCACCGAAAGTGTTCGGTTATCTTGCACAGAGGTTGGGAAAAATGCTTGCAGCTGCTAATTTAGTAGCCTGCGAATACAGCAGTCTCTCCTCGCTCCTCGCTGCTAGGGACGTTTTGCAAAAGAGACGTCTGCGTCTCAGCGACAGAAATTCGATACTAATGACGTAAAATCTGTCCAGAATTTGGTCAGGAGCACTGATTGGTCGACGTAGTAGTTATACTATTTTGTTAATTAGCTATTGTTTACAAATGACAAGAAAAAGGCAAAAGGCCACAAAGGTCAAAAGTAAATTCGATGAATCAACTACAACTTCAGTGGCTTCATAGCTCAGTTGGTAGAGCATCGCACCGGTAATCGCAAGGTCACGGGTTCAAACCCCGTTGAAGTCCTAATTTTTTTTCAGGCTTTTTTACGCAATTGCATAAATTGCGTTCACTGCGAAGTTCATTTCTTCATTTTCATTTCATTTCCGTAGTTCATATATGATTCATTTCATATATCATTAACACTCATTTCTTTCACGGGAACATATGAACCCACAATTGACCTGCTCCCAACGTCAGTGGCTTCATAGCTCCGTTGGTAGAGCATCGCACCGGTAATCGCGAGGTCACGGGTTCAAATCCCGTTAAAGTCCTGATTTTTTTTTTCAGGCTTCTTTACGCAATTGCATAAGTTGCGTTCACTGCGACGATCATTTCTTCATTTTCATTTCATTTCCGCAGTTCATATATGATTCATTTCATACATCATTAACAGTGTTAATTACGTGAGGGGCAGACGTCTTTTCTGCGAAACGTCCTAAGTGGCGAGGAGCGAGGAGAGACAGTTGCTGACAGTAATGCTCTTTATCGTCATTTTTGTTGAGCGAATTAACAGAAACGTACAAACTATAATTTGAATATATGCAATTGATTGTTGATTATTGACACCAACAAGTCGCTGTACATATCTTTTTTTTGTGCCTTAGACTTTGGTCCTTTTAACACAACACTGACGAAAAGCGTAAACATTGTCTATTTGAACACGCCATTCAACCTCAGCTGCAGTGCGCAAGCCAGCCCACCTGCTAGCTACCGATTCTACAGAGGTCAAGAGAGTTTAGGGAACATCTCAGTGAGTAATACCTTTACGACGTCGGTAGTTAAAAGAACAAGCCAGGTGAACTACGCATGTCTTCCTTTTAACTATTTTGGTGATGGGCGGACAGTGGTGATTGTTGTGGAAGTGTACTGTAAGTATTCTTTTTGGTTGTTGTGTGTCTTAGTGTTTTCACTCAAAAAACTAGTAACTATGCTATTTTATTGGAAAGGAGAAAAGGAGAGTTTAACTACTAAAGGATTTGTTCGGTTTTTGCTGTTTTGAAACGCCAATATGGCTGTCGTGACATCGTGTGTGAAGGCTTAACATCTCTTTGGTCCTTCTCTTCTCCTAGCAACTAAATGTGCCCAAGAATGGGTCGTTGAACATAGGAAAGATAAAAACAGAGCAATGTACTGGTATTTATAATTTTCAGACAAATACCATGCCTGTACCTTTCTTTTAGACACTCCACAAGTTACCGAGAGAAATAAGACCTACCTAGTTTCCCCAGGAGAATCTGCCACTCTCACCTGCCCTGTTGATGGGAACCCTCCACCTTCCGTCCAATGGTACAAAGGAAATGACAACATTCGTCAACCGTTACATACAGGAATAGAATGGGAACTTAGTCAGGCCACGTCAAGTGATAGTGGCTTGTATACCTGTTCTGCGAGTAATTCTGTTGGGACCGTTACAACCACTGTGATACTCAAAGTTGGTGAGTAGCACGCTCGGGTAGGTTAGTGTGGGTACTCAAGAGAAGTTTGGGTAGAGGTGTGTAAATTGTCGGCACCACACATGTAGATCTCCACACTTCTTTCAAAAGGCTTCCGGTTGAAAATGATACCCTGCTCAAAAAGCCTAATTGTGCAAATAAAGCGGCACATACCAGTTTAGACCAAATACATAAGGGAGTGCACTCCGGATAACATGAGAAATTCAGAAATATCTTAACTTTCCAGGCTAGTTTACTCCTTCAATGCTAAATTTAGGACGGTAGCATGCGCAAGTACACTGTTTGTTAACGGTAAGTTATATATAAATGCCATTGTCTTGGATGCCGAGGACTGCTGTAGGTGGTGATGGGCAGGTCCCTACTGTCCGTACTGCGTATCTCTGTGTGATATAAGCGAATTTCGTACTCAGACCGCTTTCCATAAGATTGTTGAATCTCTACCATCAAAGACAGTAACTAGCTTTCAACTGTTTACTTGTAGAAGAAGCCACAACAACTGCATACCCATCTTCGTCAACAAGTAAGTGACGTATTTGTACGTGTAAATGTAGTAAATGCGGGGAAAACATGTTTTACCTGAAGATTATCAGCTTGGTACCAAGAATGCCCAGACAAAATCTTCATCTTATCGCTGGAAACGACAAAGACAGAAATGTTCCTCAGTATAGGCAGTACATAGCTTCATGAGTAAGCTCTTCGTAAGGCTTTGACTGACGCTGTTAAAACAATCTATAAAAAGGCTGGGAAATGATTGCCTGCGCCGCATACGAAACTACAAAACTCTCGTTAAGTCCGTCTGCGAAACAGCGTCGAAATTCTGGGCCCTATCTGTGTACCAGGATGTCAGTACACGCAATGATCAACCTGTTAAAAAAGCTACTGTCGATTTGCCAATCAAGATGATGGGGAATTCGAGACGCTTTACCGGTAATTTGTGAAGTCCTTTGGGGGCCCAGAACAAGGATATCGGCTCTTCTTCGCAGAAGTTACTAATTAACCGAGGTTAAATTACCTCTGCGACGTAGGCTAAAAAATGATAGTTTTGTGGTGAGAAGAACTACGACACAGCCGCCTTGCGTATTACATTGTAAATGATAATATTTTTTGTTATAAAACACCGCCACGACCAACAACAAGGCTATAGTGGGAAAACCGTCTTGAACGTCACTGTAAGTGGTTTTGATCTCTCGTAACGGAGCTCTAGCGCGCGAAGCGCGCTTGCGGAGCCCCATGGGTAAGTAAATCTACCCATCCAAGAAACTCTGGTAATCACGTGACAGTACACCACTCACCCTCCCGCCAAACCATCCATCCGCACCAAAGGAAAACCAATGTTCAATCTCACACTTTCTAGCTAGTCTGGGAGCACAGGAAGACTGATATTGCACACATATTGCACATCAATCTTGTGATCGATTTACCGCTGTCAGAACATGGTATCCGCTGACCAGTATCACCTGACCGTATCGCGGGCTCAGGTGTTGACCCTTCGAGGTCGAGTATCTTTTTTAAGTTATCCGCTGACAAGTTACTAGTTTTCAACTGATCGCAGGCTCAAGTTTACTTTTTTTGTTTAATTCATAAGAAATATGTTGCGTTTTATATGTGCCGCACAATTAAAATTTTAATTTCAAACTGACCTCGGAAGCTAAAATTCAGCCAGGTTTTACAAGCAGGGAAGACATGCCAGTTGCATTTGACTTTTCTCACCAAGGTCACGCGTTGGTCACACTCTACGTCCAATTTTTATGCTCTGATTGTTCAAAATTTGACAGGTGAGTTCATGCGGAAAATGTATGCAGCATCTTGAAACTTGTTTACTTTGACAGCAGAAGCTGACGGATTTTTGTGTCAAATTGTGATGTTTTTAACTGTCGTTTTCCACTGAATGTACAAAATAAAATTCAGCTGCTATCAAGAGTCTTCTGATATTCATGGCTAGTTTGTTTATTGGGTTTTTGGTTGAGAAATACGTCGCTTGTCAAAGTCGGAAATCCGATTTCGGGTGGCATCGTTTTCGTTTTTCACCTTGCTTGATGCGTAAGAGGGTTGAAAAGTCTGAAGCGATTTAGGCCTTACTTGATAGTTTTTTGTACTTCACGATTGGTAAGCCTGAGTAATCATTGTATTTGGTGTTTGTTTTTTATATCTAATGTAATAAAGTCGAGCGTAGTTTATGGGGCTATTTATTTTATGCACGTTTGTAAGATTTGAGACAATGATCTGACCTAGTATCAGGTTTGATTATAAGCTTATAGAACGTTAAAAAGCCTTTATACATTTTCTCACCGCAAATAGAAAGAAAACGTTCCAAAGAATATTTAGTTATAATTCTGGCTGTAAAAGAAAGCCCTGAGCGATTTTCTTGCCTCGAGTTCATCTTTGAAAAAAGCAAACACCAGGACGCCGGCTTAAAACATAAACTAGAACCACTACGTGGAACTTACCGGGGCCCAGTGGGATACGGGATTGCATAGATATAGTTTACCTCTCGCACCCCTCCCCCCTCCTCTGTGGAGGCTAATACTTAGTCTGAATTAACTCATGCAGAAGAAAAGCAACAAAATGCATGAGAAAGGAGGATGTTGTTGTAAGTTTGTTCAGTGTTATTACAGCTAACGGTCTGTGTTATAGTAGTGTTTTTAGTAACACTGTGATGTCAATAAGTGTGATCTGTATAAGGTTTTCATTTGTTTTTAAGTTTGAGTGAAAAAGCAAAAATCACTGACAGTTTTGGGTTGAATGGTAATGACAAAGTTTGCAAAGAAGTTTGTTACACTTACAGAATTATCACAATTTCACATTTTCTCAAGTACGTTATCATCAGGTTTATCATTGAGATTTATTAATCACATTTATCTATTTTTTGCGAAAACACTGTGAATTTGAAATGATAACAGACATAAGACATTTTTGAAATAGATCTTTGTGGTCATGGATTGTTGTCTTGCACTGTAAAAAATGTCATCCAGTGTTATATACAGACATAATAAAATGCTTATTTATTGATGACCGAGTATCATTTGTTAATTCATTGCACATTGAAATGGAGGCACTTGATTGTAAGGCAGTGGTTGATACATAGTGGCATTCATCAATATGGCCTATAGTAATTATTGTAGAGGAAGTATTTCTTTCCTGAACTGGGTAAACAGTAGTATATCTGCAACTGCTTGAATGATAAGTGCATCAGCCCATGTACCTTGAATACACATATTATTCAGATATCTTATCCATGAATTTTCGGTATTGCTCTCAATAAATCTCTCAGGATTGTCTCTCATAAATTGAACCCCAGCAGTACGTATATGCATGTGATGGTTGCTTTTGCCATATAATTGATGTGATACAGATCTAAAGAAACAATCACCTGCACCGCCAACATCTATTGATTGTAAACAAAGTGCACCTAATCTTGACTGCATCAAATTCTGAGAGGAAATAGGAGAGTTCAACTGCATTGGTTGAGGTCACTAGAGAAAGTTTACTATAGTAAACTCAAGTTTACCATAGTAAACGGCGCCGTAAGTGTGACCGGCATTTTTCAGTTTACAATGGTAAACTCTACCCTGGTTAATTTCCATGACTACCGCGGAAAGAACAAAGATGACCCATCACCGATAACCATCTGGTTACCAAAAAAAATAGGTGGGTATATCTCTAGTCTATCTAAACTTTGTTTGTTTTGTTGACAGTTTGTCATGATTTTTGAGGAAAGTAGTTTCAAAAAGGGTCACATAACAGAATAGCTTTAGAACATCGGTGATTGCTTTTTCCACAGTGCTTGAAGGTTTCTGTTTCTGTACATTTCTTCAAACCATTCCTGGGGTCGAGGTTAAACCCACGCTTGCCTTCGCAATGCCGCTCTTTCTCTAAGAATACGTCTTCGATGAGTAATCAATAAACCTGTCACTAAAACATCTTCACTAACTTCGTATTCGAAACCAAGGTAGGTAATGAGGGAGCGCATTCTTCTTGCTCGTCTGAGCAGCAGAATTAAAAGCAAAATGCTCACAACAGAAAACAATACTCTCTCACATTGAAGCATCTTTGTACACTTGTGAGGGTCACGCTCAGGAAGTTACAGTTCAGTAATTTCAATTTAGTCAGCTCTCATAGCAGGTCATCATTTGTTTTACTTTTCACTCTCACGTTACCGATCACGCGAGAAAAAACGCCTGGAAAGTTTCAAATGCCTTTTTAAGTGGACCTGTCAGGTTTACTACGGTAAAGAAGACGTTGCGAGACTTACCATAGTAAAGCCCTTTTTACCATAGTAAAGTCTCTAGTGTGACCTCAACCAATGTTGAGCTGTGATTTTGCATAGAAGGTCTAATTATTACTTCATGATGATCAGTGTTGTATTGAGTAGGTCCTGGATTCTTCTCAACATCTTTACTTAGTTTGAAATTCACATAATTGGTCATATGACTCACACAATTGCAAGAAAACAATGATAAAGATCGACGTGCTTTACATTATTTTTAGTTTCATTATCCTGTGATAATGCCTGCTAAAGAAAGACAACAAATAAGCTTTCTTGGGTATAGCCATTTTATTTAAGTTAATTATCTTTGGATCGCGTTTGTTATTACATTTATATCGTGCATGATAAAGTTTTCTCACCTTATTAACATAGCGATGGAGCTTTGAAGTCTTCGGTATGTCAATCATTGAAATCTTTTTGAAGACAAATTTTGATAAGTGTTCGCTTTGATTCTCGATAAATTTCACGATGGAAGGTTCACTCAATTTCTCGATAAGTTTCACGATGGAAGGTTCAGTCTCAGAAGTGATCGCTCGTAAATTTGTCTCTCCAAATATTCACTCTTAAATTTTCGCTCATAAACTAGTTGGGTTGGGGGAACGTGTCGTTCCCCAAAAAAGCTATAATCTTTCTCTTGACTGTCCTCCATGCCTCTTCTTTTCAAAATGGCGGATAAGATTTCAATGAGCCAGCGATATATCTCAGTCAGCGATATATCCCTAACAATGTAACGTTGAAAAAACGGACGGTCTGCATTTTAAGACCGGTGCCAGCCTTCGGCTGGGCCCCGGTAACAAGGATTTACAGAGACAGTTTAATACTTGTCTTCGTGAGTGAAAATTGTTGTCTCTGTATATGTTTCACCGAATTATTTTCCTTTTATTGATTGTTAGTGGTCTCTTCTGCAATTTTAATCGCTTTGCCGTTTGTTTTCAGTCGCTCATGAACATCGCTTGCAGGAGTAGTCAAAATGCCTCGCGTATCAAATGCTTTTGAAGATTACACATCGTTATAAAGCCATTATGTTGAAGCTTATAACTCTAGCTATTAATCTTAATTTAAACAGTCGATTTTGGCGCTTGTCAAAAGTGAGAACCGGCTCGCCGTATGGGTGATTTTGGAAATTTTTTTAACGGTTTCGCTAACGCGTGCTTCTATCGTCCTGAATATTGAATGAGTGCAATTTGTATAGGTAAGGTATAGGTAGGTCACATGATTTCGGGTGCAATTTGGAATAAATAAGCACGAGTAAATTTTTCAAAGAAAAATTTACAAGCGTTTATTTATTCCAAATTACACGAGAAAAATCATGTGATTACTTATTAATATAATAATATACACGAAAAACATAACTACAACAACAAATTTTGATAGAGCGCGCGTTTTTAGTTTATTCAACTGATTGTTTGAAACAGACTACTACCTTTGTCAAATTCAAACTTTTTCAAGACCAACGCTTTCAAAATAATTCAGCTAAGAACTTGGAAATGTGCAAGGATTGATTTTACATGGTCACCAGCCTGTTAAAGATAACTCGGTTCACAATAATCAGCAAAAGTAAGTGTTTTTAAATTCATCCTCGATTACGAGAGCTCTGCGTCGGAAGTATACTGCCGTTTTGAAATCAGGAGAACGCTTCGAGCAGCCAAAGATGAAAGACACTTGCTGAGTTGTTTAACGCCCCATCATTGTCTGTTCCTGAAACCCCATCATAGCTGGATGATTCATAACATGATTCATGGAGAAATTTTTGAGATTTAAAACCCGAAAATGAAGGAGGCATTGACGCTGGCATAGATGGGTGAGTGGAGCCACAGTTGTTGTGATGTCGGAAACTGCCACTATTAATATAATATTTGCTTTTTCTTAGCGCTGGTGTTTTCATTATTCATTTGGATATTGCAAGAGAGAGTCATCGTCGCTCTTCTTCGTCGGATTCATCGTAGTCGTTGAGGAAATTTATACCTCTGTGGCCTGTGAAATTGGCAATATATTCTGAAGTTACAATGTTTGCTTTCTTCAGCTTGCTGACTGTTGTTTATCTTACACTATGACTCGTAAACTTTAGCTAGTACCAGCTATGGATAATTTCATTATGTTAGTTATGATATTTTCGCCCATTGGTTTAGTTTGAACCAGATGTTTAAGTTTCGGTTTCCTTTGCTACTGAGGTAGAAAGAGACAGACCTTCGCATGGATTTTTTAATAGAGGTCGTCGCTCCACAAAAGACTTAAAGAGAGCAACCTGACACCTTTCTCAGTCCTCCAACAAATAACGTACGTGACTTAGAATCCCTGTTGTTATCAAGGAAAACTTCTATCCTTATTCATTTAAATGCTGAAAAGTGTATCTGTCATGGCTTACGTGTGGTTGCCACCTTGTTTGTTTTGTATTTTTTACTTTGGCGTAGTCGTTTATAAGAAGCTTATTTAGTTTCTCTCGCTCATTTTCCTCGATTTTGTTGACTGTATTTATCTCTTACCACCGAATTCTCCTTAGATTTAGCCAGAAAAAAGTAGAAGACTCTTGATAGCAGCTGAATTTCATTTTGTACAATGTTTAGTGGAAAAAGACAGTTAAAAACATCGCAAGTTGTCACAAAACTCTGGCAGCTTCTGCTGTCAAAGTAAACAAGTTTCAAGATGCTGCATAAATTTTCGGCATGAACTCACCTGTCAAATTTTGACCAATCAGAGCATAAACATTGGACATAGAGCGTGACCAACGCGTGACCTTGGTGAGAAAAGTCAAAAGCAACTGGCATGTCTTCCCTGCCAATAAAAACTGGCTGAATCTTAGCTTCCGAGGTCAGTTTGAAATCAAAGTTTTAATTGTGCGGCACATATAAAACACAACATATTTCATATGAATTGAAAAAATTAAACTTGAACCTGCAATCTTTTGAAAACTAGTAACTTGTCAGCGGATAACTTCAAAAAATGCTTGACCTCGATAGGTCGACACCTGAGCCCGCGGTACGGTCAACGGACCCTGTTTTGACAGCTGTCAATTGATCACAACATTGATGTGCAATATGTGTGCAATATCAGTCTTCCTGTGCTCCCAAACTTGCTAGAAAGTGTGGGATTGAACATTGGTTTCCCTGTGGTGCGGACAGACGGGCAGCGGGCGGGCGGTGTACGGTCACGTGATTACCAAATTTTTTGGGATGGGTAGATTGACTTACCCATGGTGCTCCGCAGGCGCGCTTCGCGCGCCAGAGCTCCGCTATTAACCATAGTAGCGCGTCGCCTTAACGACTGGTAAATGGCAATTTCACTTACCTTGTGTTCTGGCTTTATTGGCGGTCAAGCAGCTGCAGGCAACAATTACAGTTTGCAATGACTACTTTGGAATAGCTCACTATACACTCTGTTTCCATCCTTCCCTCCCGAAGAAATGCATGCTATTGTTTTCAATTGCTTTCGGGAATATGGAGTCCTTGCTTCCTAGTTTATGCAACTTGTAAAGGTAATAGCATGATTTGTTGTGATATTTGGCATAAATACCACGAGTGATATTTCGAAATTGTTTTACGTAATTTCATGAGCCGTTTGGCGAGTGAAATTTTAGGCAATTTTGAAATATCAGAAGTGGTATCATGATGTCAAATATCACGTACAAATCATGATAGCGGAGCAACACGCGCGAAAGCGCGCGCGTGGGCGGAGCCCCATAGCTAAGTCAATCTACCCATCCCAGAAAATTTGGTAATCACGTGACCGTACACCGACCGACCGCCCGCCGACCGTCCGTCCGCACCACAGGATAACCAATGTTTGCTCTCACACTTTTAGCTAGTTTGGGAGCTCAAGAGAAAACTAATTGCACATCAATGTTGTGATCAATTGACAGCTATCAAAACAGGGCATCCGCTGACCAGTATCACCTGACCGTGCCGCGGGCTCAAGTGTCGACCCATCGAGTTATCCGCTGACAAATTACCAGTTTCAAATGATCGCAGGCTGAAGTTTATTTTTTCCAAGAATTCATATCAAATATGTTGTGTTTATGTCACTATGGCCCCGCACTATTAGGATTTTGATTTCAAACTGACCTCGGAAGGGAAAATTCATCCAGTTTTTTTAAAAGTACAGGCGGGGAAGACCTTATCTTACCATGGTCACGCGTTGGTCACGCTCTACGTCCAATTTTTATACTCTGATTGGTCAAGATTTGATAGGTGAGTTCATGCGGAAAAATTATGCAGCATCTTGAAAGCTGTTTACTTTGCCAGCTGAAGCTGACAGAGTTTTGTGTCAACTTGAGATGTTTTTAACGTTTTTTTTCCCTCTGGATGTACAAAATGAAATACAGCTGCTCATCATTATTATTCTGTTATTCATGGCTGGTTTGTTTACTGGGTTTTTGGTTGAGAAATGCGTCGCTTGTCAAAATTCGGTAATTCGATTGCGGATGGCATCGTTTTCGTTTTTCACCTTGCTTAGTAAGAGGGTTTAAAAGTCTCAAGCAACTGTGGCCTTCCTTGATAGCTTTCAGGAACTGAATCTCGAATGCTAAACCTAAGTAATTATTGTATTTGATGTTTGTTTTTGAAGTCTTGCATAGTTCACGCTGACGGTTTATGCGGCAATGATCTGACCTAGTATCAGGTTTGATATAAGCTTACAGAACTTTAAACAGCCTTCAGATATATTTGCTCACCACAAATAGAAAGAAAACTTTCCGAAGAATATTTAGTTATAAATTTGGCTGTAGAAAGAAAACTGTGAGCGATTTTCTTGCTTCGAGGAGTTCACCTTTGAAAACAGTAAACACCGCGCCGGGAAGCAGGCTTAGCTTTACGCTTAAAGACTCAGGATTTTTAGAGACACTTTAGTACGTGTCTTCGTGAATGAAAATTGTTGTCTCTGTAAATGTTTCACGGAATTATATCTCTTTTTTTGATTGTTAGTAATCTCTCTTGCAATTTTAATCGCTTCTTCGTGCCGTTTGTTTTCATCGTTCATGACCATCGCTTGCAGGAGTACTCAAAAATGTCGCGCGTATCAAACGCTTTATAAGATTACACATCGTTATAACTGAAACCATTAAATAACAAAACAAATAATAATAAATTCGCTATTATGTTGAAGCGTAACTCTGTTAAAGTTCATTCAAAAACTCGACCACACTGACAGCTCGCACTATAGAAACGAGAACCAGCTGGCCGTATGGGTGATTTTGGAAATTTCTGGACGGTTTCGCTTAAAGCCCACGATTGATCGTCCTGAATATTGACTGAGTGCAATTTGTCTTGAAAAATTGTGAAATACCGCATTCTGTCTTAGGTGTGTATGGTAAATAGTACTGTTTCACCTCAAATGTGATGTATAAAAATTATAAAAGGTTGATTTAAACACCCCCAGATTTGTTGGCAAGAATTTGTAAAATAAACCTGTCGAACGCAAAAAAAATTGGCGTGATTTGTTTTCCAAGAATTTGTTTTCGAGGCCTAATCTACTGTGATCTTGAATGTGATCGAAGATGTTTGCTATTTTTTGGGTGTACATATAAGGTTATTAAATGGGTGTAAGATGTTTCACTCTAAAATAACTTACCCTTTCCCTCAAAAGTCACATGAATGTGCCCTTAAAGCTCCTTAAGTTAACTGATTTGTGGATTAAAAGTTTATTGTTCGATTTAAATTATTAATTTATTAATTGGAGCTTCACTTTTAGCCCTGGCTAAATCTATATATTATTGTTTCTTAATACTACTAATCACAAAAGGTTTGTAATTTTCACACGTAGGTATTTCAAATTAAGCTGAAATACCACTGCTCTAAGCCAATCAAAATGCAGAAATTTCTCATGTAGTACCATAAGGGGGCAAACTGATTGTATTTTGAAGCATTAAAATATATACAATACAAACAAACAGTGACTGAGCTAGGGATGACATTTATAAGAGCCTTTGCACACTATCACAAAAGCTTATGAACATGACAAAAGCAGCTGGTGGTTGAGAATCGGCGGTTCAAACTAACAAAGAGAAACTTTGTAACTGTTGTTGTTGACTTTATACCAATTACTTTGAGCTTTATTACTGTTTGTGATTTGTAGTCCTTTGACATGTTTTACTGCTATTGTAATTTTGTAGACGTTAACTTTCAACTCCAAGTGACGTTAGTAGATGCTGAATATCTCCAAGATTACGAAAATCTCAACAGTCAACCTGCACAGGAGTTAATTAGCAAATTTGAGACTGAGGTAATCAACATGCTGCTGTGTTGCTCATCATTAGGGGAAAGCTCTAGTCAAAGAGCTCTTCACCTTAATGAAAAACGTAATTAACTTATTCAACAATTTTGCCATAAGCTAGAAACGTGATTAAACAACAGAACGTAATGCTCCTTACAAAAGTAGACTGTGGCATCTCCTGTTGATCTTTAAAGATAACTGAGGAGCAGCAAACGCGCGATCTGGACAAACGTTCTTTCACACGAAATACCAAGTAGCAAGGCTTCAATCCACGGAAAAAAAGGGTGTGACTCGTAGTTTTGCAATCTTATTACTTAAAAGGATAATAAGAGACTGGTGGAAATTTTTAAATTAGTTGCAAGGGGTCCCCAACCGGAGTCCCCAACCCATCCTAGATACAAAATGGACGCAGTCCAACCCAATCTAGATTGAAATTACAAAATACATTGCAGAGTTACTCTCAGCCAAAAATGTGAGCTGAGGATGCAACCATTAAGTACGCTAGCAATGACTTTAAGAAAATATAGGAGCGGTCTTGACTCACTTTCCCTCTACATAACACATTATAAACTCCCTGACTACGAAAAAGCGAAAATCTCATGTTTGACTAAAATGTAGGATCACCATTTACAAATGGAAACCATTTTGAACATCACTAAAAACGATGAACAATTGCAGTATGTCTTTTACCAACAGTTGATGTGTTGACGTCAGTTTTCCCAGTCGAAAGACGTCTTTCTATAAAGCAGAGGGTAATCTTTTAGTTTAAAGAACAGGGCCGAGTTGTTCAAAGCTGGGTTAAGATAACCCAGGGTTAGCGCGAGATTTGAATTCAGATTTGAAAGCTTAAAAAGCATTTCCGTTTTAATTCTTTTTGTCTACAAGTTAATGATTAGAAGTTTTAAAAATAACAGAGAAAATTATCCGAGAAAATGCTTTTGAACACAAGAAAGAAAAAGCCGGGTTAAATTTAACCCCGGTTTAAGCGCTAATCGGCCTTCGAACAACTGGGCCCTGAATTATATATATATATATATATATATATATATATATATATATATATATATATATGAACGGGAACAGAGTCCTCAGTCGTGAGAAATCAAAAGTGTCGATTTTTCGAGTCTCGCTCCTCGTAAAAAAAGTTTTGGTAGGTTGTGGATAGTAACCATTCAATGGAATGTTATTCAAGACAAAATGAAAGCATAAAGCTAAGAGTTGACATGGTTTCAATCGTTGCCATGGCAACGAGGGTGATTGAAAAGAATCCTAAAATTTAAAACTTATTACTTTTAGGCAAACTTCTTATGAATTTCCACATTTCCCATAATAAGTAACCCTCATGGTTTTTTAGAAGAACTTAACCAAATTGTAACAAACAGTAATTTTTAAGAAAATAGCCTGCATGAGAAATTTAGTTGTCACAAAACTCCTTTGATCAAAATTTATTTTGGCCTTTTATTGACTGAACTGCGATATGAACATAATTTTATTTTTCGGCTATTTTTTATGCCAGTAAGTAGATATTTTCGTACGTTTCTATTACCTATAGGGTGGTCTCACTAGCGACGGAGCCGGAGCCGGAGACTGGATCGTAAGCGGAGTCGTAAGAGCGCTTATGACCTTGTGAAAATCATAAATCGGGGTCGTAAGCAGAGTCATAAAAGCGCGACAGAATCGTTTCCATTTTCTTCCGACTCCGCTTACGACTCCGTTGCTTACGATCTAGTGAGAACCAGATTGTGGGAGTTGGAAAGAGAAGCGGAAGGATAATATAAACCAATCACAATGCCCATTCCCACGCTTTTTGATTGGTTTAGTTCTTCTGTTTCTGCTTGTGACTCTGACAGCCTAGTTTCCGCGTGATCGTAAACGACAGCGTAGTAAGCGGAATCAGAACGCTGTTTTCACTAGATCGTCAAGTATTGCTTCTGATTACGACTCCGACTTCGTATCTCCTCATGATAAATGAAGATGTTAACATGCAAAATAAAGGAATAACGCAGTTCTAGAGAACCTGTTTTTGTCCACCGTAGACACCTTAAGCTCATCCCGATGCATTTGTTTAACGAGTATGCTGCGTGGATATGTAAAAATGCGCTACGTAGTGTTAATTAGCTCCCATGACGACAGTTTTAAGTATATACATTTACGATCACCCGGTATTAGGGTTAAACTAAAACCAAAAACACCCAAATGGAGCACGGAATAAGTTACAGTGAGAAATTTAATTGCAGTGTAGGGAATAAACTTGTGAGTTAAAAAACTGGTGCGTGACTACTCTACTACAACGAAACTTCATACATCCAAATCAGAAGGGAAAACTTGGTTGACTGTAGGGTATTATGACAAAAGCGGGTAAAGTCGTGCTTTTTGAAAATTAAATTATTTTCAGGAATTACATATTTTGCTCATTTAAACGATTTTATCTTGCTGGCAAATTCAAATTATAAAATCTGCTTTTGCCATTACACACTAGAGGTTTTGACCAATCATTTACTTAAAAAATCAAGGAGTGCTTTCTTCTTCTTCTTATATCTGCAAACTTGGACACAAAATTTGGCAGTACTGTGGCGTTGCCAAAAAGTGCGATCTAGCAATAATAATAAAAAAAACAACCCTCCAACTTACATCATTCCTTAATGTCTGCAGAAAGTTATCTAACTCGCCTCCAAAACGTGAACGTTATAAGGGCGTTTGAAACTGTTCATGAATAGGTGTCCCCCGCGGCCTTTAAGGGGACTGGCATTTCCAAACGTGCACGAGAAACAAGGACTAAAAATCAAATAT